AATTAGTGGGCAAGAAAACAACCATTAATCCATCCATCAACATTTAGTGGAGAAGGAAAAATTATTCAAATTTATTGGCAGTTTATCCTTTCTACTACCTTGGATTTAAACTCCTTTTACTATTGCATTACTATCATTACAACTCCATGACTGGATGGTACTAGTCGGCTCTTTTCACCACAACGACAGTGAAAATTAGCCATCATAGAACGTGTCCGCTTGGGACGTACGGCGACACTTTCAGCCATCCAACCGACCAACTCGTTCCAGGTATTTGAGGCCAACACCATTCCTTCTATTACCATCCAATCTCTTGCTCTTGATCCATTCTAATTGGACATTGATCATTCCCTTCTTTATCCAGAAAAATTATCGATATTATTATTATTTCTCTACACTCGTAGTGGACGACCCTTGCAAGCCTCGACTCAACGTCAACATCCTTTCCATGTCATTGATTATATTTATCCTTGGGTAGCGCGCTGATTTCAAGTTGAAAAAAAATCCTTTCGCTATCTCTGACGTTAGCAACAGTATTGGTATCATTGCATTCTCACAGGCTAATAGTGTAGCCATAATACAACCCCTCCAATAAAAAGATAACTTTTCATTTTCCTTATTACACTGCTACTACCGCCAGTCAACCACTTTTAGGTAAAGTAGTAAGGGATTGCAAAGAACGAGCCCCCCCCTTCCCCCCCCCCAAAAAAAAAATTGTCCATCGTAGTCATCTTGTGGATAAAAGACGTAGCAAACAATATCGCCCAATTTCTTCTTTTTTCATATTATTAGCTCATGTAACAACTGTGTACTATTAGCTTCAATTGCCTTGTTTGTTGTACATAATCTGTGATTTCAATCAGCTATCACTACAGTAGAACCTTGCAAGAATTGACAAGAAAGAACATTTAGAATACAAAACAGATGGATATCAAGGACACTACCAATAAACGCCAATCCATCATTTGTAATGCTTTATATGATTATGAAGGCGAATCAGAATATGAATTAAGCTTTAAAGCTGGTGAACGCGTTACAGTCATCTCCAAGGATAATCAAATCTTTGGCGAAGATGAGTGGTGGATTGCTCGTGTCAATGATAATATCGGTTTAGTACCGGCAAATTATGTCCAGCCTAAAACTGCTGAAGAAACTGAAGAGGAAACTTGGACCGGCCTATCTTTTGGTGATAACGTCCCTTATGAAGTAAGCATGAGACAACTGGATATTAAAGAAATCATCGGTCGGGGTGCATTCGGTAAAGTCCATCGTGCGATGTGGAAAGGTCAAGAAGTGGCCGTCAAAGAACAAGAATTATATCACAAAGATGAAGCGGCTATTAAAAATTTCAAAAATGAAGCCGATTTATTCTTTCTCCTATCTCATCCTGGACATTTAAATGTAGTTACCTTGAAAGGGATATGTGTCCAACCGCCACGATTTTGCTTAATCATGGAATATTGCCGAGGTGGTGAATTATCAAGAACATTAGCGAAATATTTAGTTCCACTGGGTGTTCTTTTCGATTGGGCGATACAAATTGCCGATGGCATGAACTATTTACACCATCAAGGACCTATCTCTTTAGTTCATCGTGATCTTAAATCCAATAACAGTAAGTTGAATCAATTAATGAATGAATTAGTCATTGGGATAAAATGACCTACAGCCTACAAATGGCGATCTACTGTTCTACGCATGGAGACGTACAATATATTAGGGCATCGCAATAGCAATTTGGACACCTTTTCTCGTCATCCAATACAGTATTGATCATCATTGATGTTATAATACTTTTATGAATAGTGAACAACTACAAGAATGACCACAGTTTACTCTACCATCGCTATTTTAGTAATTAATAGAGCACACGCTGACATACACACAATATCGTAGTTCAATAAACTTACTAATCTCCATATATTTTACTCAACAACTGACCTACAGTACAATTTCATTTCAACACCTTCAAACGTTGATTAGATAGAAGATAAATTACATTGCTATCCAGTATACCACAACCCTGCCGAAACTACTCGTATAGCATTGTATAAACAATTGGACGATTGCTCATTGTCAAAGAAATAGTCATAGATTGAAATGGCTTGATTAAATTATGAGTCTATGCATTTCCTGACGGTTAAAACAGATCCTGTATCGACTGTTTATTCGATCAACCAAGACTGTACATTGTACAAGCATGTCTCTTTTATTGCCCATGTACTGACGGTAGTCGTGTCATTTTTCTTCCTTCACATTCAATACGTACACAAAAGATAGAAAATGATCTTGAGAAAGACCGACGATGCTGTATGTTAGCAAACTTCAATCAACTTTTTCAAAAAACTTGACACATCCATCAGTACTGGATAGTCTCCATGACACGATGGTCATACTTGCGTTGATTACATATTGCCAACGTTTTCTTGATAGCTAGGAATATTACTTTTCTCTTTTAAATATGCGATGTTTTTATTGCATTTATTGATGGAATCTTGTCCTCCTTGTCGTGGTGTTCATTTTTTTTTTTGAATTAGTTAAGGTAATTGTATTAGAAATTGGCTTGCCAATAATCAAATGGACAAAAAATCGTATTGATTAGTAAAATAATAATACAGATAACAATATCTTTTAACAAGTACATACAGTACTATACAAGTTTAGATCTTTCATCAATTCTATTCCCACTCCTGTAAATTATGAATCTATATCATTCAATTTTCTCGTAAATAACCCAATTACAAGTGTTACAATGATAGCAATCAGACCTGGATGTGCTATCGTACGTGTAACAGCCCTCTACATCACAATACTTTTTACGCAATTGTAGTAGAGATTGAAAATTGACAAGTGTATTAGATTATGAAACCAGGATGTATACGTATTGACGTATGTACAGTATAATACACGAATATATTAAACAATTATTGATGCAAGATATGCATTGGATTATCTAATATTTGATGTTGAAAAAGTTGCATACTGTCATAATAAAATGCACATCTTGTATCGATAAATATCAATCTATATGGAAAGTAATAACTGGAAGATATAAAATAGACGACATCTACGAGCCTGTAACGGATATAGAACAACATTTGCATTTGCTTTACCATCAATTGACACGTTATACTACACGCAATCACGTAGAGTACTGAAAAATAGCAGGTTGCTACCGCTGTGTTTTCTAAACCGGAACAAGATACAAATAAGCAAATTTCTTTACATTCTTCTTTTCTTAATAATGCGTGTAAAGAAAATAATAAAAACTATTATGTCACTAGGATTTAAAGACAATTACAATGAATACAGATTTTCATCTTCACATTACTTGATTGTATAACATTTTTTTCATTATAAAGTTATACTCGAGAAGATACAGTTAGTCTTTAAAAAAACGGCAATCTTGAGTAAGTAATATTGCAAACCTTTTTTTCTTCCTTAATTCAGTATTACTGGATAATTGCTACAATGAAGAGAATTATACAGATATCACCTTAAAGATTACCGATTTTGGTATGGCACGGGAATTACAGCAGCGCTCAACTCGGATGACCAGCGCTGGTGGGACTTATGCATGGATGGCTCCTGAAGTCATCACTACACAGCGCTATTCTAAAGCCAGCGATATTTGGAGGTAAATTTACTAGACCGTTAATACATTAACTAAATTTTTATCCTATTATAACTGACTCTTCATTACCGATACATTCGATACAGAATATAAGTTTTTTTTTTTTATTGTTATTGTTATTATAATCCTTTTATGAACAGTCAGCAATTTACGACACAATGTAGTAATGTAGAATAAAATTGATGTATGAAATAGTTGTTAGCTATGCTTTTTTTTATACCAAAACCCTCAAGCGTTCTTTATATTACGCTTCATCGAAAAAGAAGTATGGACAATTCATTAATTTTATAAATATCTTTAATCTTTTCGAGCTATATGCATAGACTCGCATCATACGCGTGATCTTGCTTATGAGTTAATATTTTTTTAGACTTACACGCATAAATGCATACAACATATTTCAAGTCAACACACAACTTTAATGTTAGCCGTTTGTAATATAGAATGGCTGATAGCAATTCTTTAACCCCTTGGATATTCATGTCATCATCAATGTTGATATTAGCGTTCAATTACTCACTATTACGAAATTGATTTTATATACCTTTAGCTTCGGCGTTGTGATGTGGGAATTATTAACTGGCGAAATCCCTTACAAGGGATTAGAAGGTGCTGCTATTGCCTATCGTGTAGGGACTAACAAGATGGGTTTACATATACCGGATGAATGTCCTGAACCGTTCTCTCAATTAATGAGAGGTATATGCAATCATTATTTATAGTACAACGAACACGATATCGATTGCGTTACAATACACGTAGAGTAGTTGAAATATGCTTAACTGCAATTTTACTGATAATTATTACTACTGTATAAAAGTATATTTTCGCCAAATAAGTATTTTGATGTATTTGGTCTAGCAAAATCGTCATTTCTTTAATGTTAAGACTATGTCAACTATATAACTTTATCTACATTGTGCACTTTTTCGAACGTATATTAAAATATTAATTATGTGCCTTATTGAAGTATGATTATATATGTCCATTATCTTAATTTCTAGTTATCATAATTATTACTTGACTAGCAAGATAATACCATATATCATTAATATTACCGTTATTGAAACTTGGTAATTATTTATTTACGTAGATTGTTGGAGTTGGGATCCACATCAACGACCTGCATTTCCTGATATACTGAAAAGATTAAAGAATATGTCTGAAATGCCTCTAAGTGAACACTTTCAAGAATCTTTCCATATGCTTCAAGCTGACTGGAAGAAAGAAATCGAGGAAAAAATGGAAGAGATTAAAGCTATTGAAAAGGTATAAAAATTATTAAAGACAACAAGTATGATTGTTGTTATGTGCTAGACTTTCTAAAATTTTATAGGAACTTTGTGGCACAGTTAACGTATAATATGTATATGTTACGTATATACAGTATATTGTATGCATAGATGCATTGCTATAATAATAATAATAGCAAATTACTATGTATAAATCTTGAGATGATGTTAGAAGACATAAATATGACTTTTATTTTATATACAGGCTTTACAAACTAGGGAAGAAGAATTACAACGTGTTCAATTAGAACAAAAACATCAGGCAATGGAACTTCAAAAACGTGAAGAAGAACTAGCACAAAGAGAGAATGATTTAGCTGTGAGAGAACTTGGTGTTATTTTACAGGTAAGATAAATGAGCTATTAGCTTATTTCTATTGCCATCATAGTCGTAATCATCTACAGTAGTATAAACATACATCGGTTAATATCAAATTGATTGAGTTAAATCCGTAAATTTAATTTACATATTCTATGAGCTACTCAGCTGACAGTATCATTGTTTGCATTTTCTCTTCATTATTTTATATAGAATCAAATATGGAGACCACCAGTGCCTAAAAAACGACGCCACTTGTTAAAATGGAAGAAAAAACAAAAGATCAGTACTCCATCTGGTAACCCACTTTTGCTATCATCTGTGTTTACACCCTAGTAAGAGTTAAATAGAAATTAACACATTACTCAATTTATTTATTTTAGGATTCCAACACAAAATTAGCGTTCAGTACGAAAAAGAAAGAAATCCCGGAACAGATCCAAGCTCACCGACTACACCATTAGCCTCCTCAAATAATGTACCTCGTCTACGAACAATGTGTAAGTCATAAACTCTCTTGCGGCTAACGGAAGTTAAATATTCAATAGTAATTACTAAATGTAAACACAAAATTATTTCAATAGTTCCACAGATAGTATCACCACCACCAGCTGAAGATACCCAGCTTCCTCGAACTCAATCCGTTTTAGCCTTGAAAGAAAAGCCGCAGAGAACTTCCAAAGAATCCGATCTCAAGAAAAGGCTATCTAGCTCTGTACCCGATCTCAGCCGAATCGCAAGAAGATCGAACCATGCACGTAATCATGTATCACGAGACGACCTAAGTAAGTAATATCTTAATTTCTAATAAGTGAACTTTTGGCGATATTAATTACAATGTCCTGCTCTATAGGCTTAATAATGTTATGCGTTTATTCCATTATATAGTGTCAAATGACAGTAAATTTGACGGTGACATGTTCAATCGGCAATCTACAAATCCCCGTAAGATTGAGTTGATCGTTTGCAGTGTGGGATTTATAGCTGCTTCAGTAGGTGGTGGCGCAGATATTGGAAAAGCTTCTAAGCTAGATATAAACAGTTTACCTAATAGTTTTAGTGGACCAAAAAAATCTCCGAGGACTTTTGATAACATCAATTCTAGAAGTCGCCATAAATTTACTAAAGAAAGTATCACTAAACAGTAAGTTATCAATACCTAATGTCCCTCCTATTTATTTAGTATAAAAACTATCATTTTTGTATAATAGATGCTAAGTATTTATATTTTATTTTTAGATTTCATAGAAAACTAACTCCCACACCAGAACATAGTAGGCGAAATCCTCCAAATCTTCTCACACTCGAATCTACTCCACTTTCTGGTGATCCTCATGGTAGATATAATGGTTATAGAAGTATCTCCTATAGTCCTAGATCAACAACTTCAAGCGATAGAGAGTTTAGTAAATCTATGAGTACATTTGAATCTTCACCGTTTCAGCGTACACAAAGTTATGATGAAGATCCGGTTCCCAGGCCCAGATCGAGTTCGATTAAATCTACTAGTTCTCATCGAAGGGATGATTCTGCGTATAGCACTCCAAAATATAGTAGACCAAACACTTTGCCTATTAATCGTGAAAGATCATTAAGTATTGCCTCGAAGAGTAGTGTAGTCGTCCACGTACGCAATGATTTGGGCTCTTTCAGTACAGGCAGTCAGCCTAACCTTTACCAATCAGAAGAGTCGTCGTCGCGTGATATTGGAAGACATAGATCTAGTACTACGATTGACAGTGCAACTCATTCAGCTGTAACAACACCTGTCCGAAGCGGTGGTCCAAGACCCATGACAAGAAAGCCTATTAGCGAAAAATACCTATCGACCTGTGAAAGCAATCATCGACGTCCATATCGCTCGGCGGAGATACTGAATAATTCTTCAGATGGCACTACTGAAGTAGTCAAAAGAGTAGTTAGAGAACACCAAGTATAAAATACTGACGTGATGTACGTGCGTATTAAGAAACTAACTCTTACGATCGATCTGTCTTGATAAATATGAAATACAGCTATATAATTGCCATAATTCTCGTAGAAACACTTACGTAAAATAAATGTAAGTTGGATTATAAGGTAGATATTGCCCAAAATTGCGTCGGTATATCATTATTCATTCATTTATCGATTTATCGATTGATTCATTGACTAATTAATTCAATGTTTTGTAATATTTACTCTATTATTTCTGAATTGCTATCGAACCATTTTATATATTTGTATTCAGTGTTACTTGTAAATTATCTACCTTTCCTTTAAATGTATTATATGCATTATGCTAAACATGTCTTACCATATAAGTAATGGATATTTTAATCGTAAAAAAAATAGGTAGTGTTTAATTCTCTATGTATTACAAGCACTGCCTTGGCCAAAAAGGAATTGTAAAGTATCGTAACCAGTGTAAATGAGATGGTCAAGAAATAGTACAGTATAGACAGTAGTGATACAAGAACTTTGAGTTGAGTAATCAACCTATGGGCTTTAATAGTTAATTTTGGAGAGATGTTAATTGCTATTATCGATGCAGATGATAAAAGCTGCATTGTTATATTAGTATAATCATTAACACAATAGATAAAATAATTGTCACAGTGCTGTAAAGAATATATATGATTTAATAACCTAAATTTTTATTGCAAAATGTTGATTTTGAAAGATAGTAGGAAATTAATTGGATAGCTTTATTATGTATTGGAAATCATAACAAGCTTATTAGAGTTGGCATCATTTTTGAGACTCTGCTGTTATTATAACCTGCAGTACTTAATTATAATTTTAATGTAATATCACTAGCCTTTGATGCTAAAGCTATCATAAGTTTGCTCTTGTTGCTATCCAAACGCCAAAGGTTTAGTTCGTATGTATTGCATTTGATTAGCAAGTAGCTTTTCACGTATTTGGTGTTTTAATACTTTGACATAGTATGGACACACTAAATATTGAGTCTACGATATTATAATGGCGTATTATTGGAATTTTTTTAGTTTCTAATAATGGTATGTTGTCGTAATATGATGCGTCAAGGTATATCATATTTAATAATGTGTACTAGAGTCATCACTGCGATTTTTATTATTACTGTCAATTTATATCCATTTTTATCGCACTGCTTGTACTTTGCTGTACTTGAAATTTTTACTAAACTATGGTGAAATCTTTTAAGATAATGTGCTTTCAATTGAAAAAAACTTTTATATCACTCTCCAAACGTTATTCCAATACTAAATTGTCTTCACTTGGTCACATATTATACAACTCTACGATACTAATAACCTTTAATAGATTGTTCCTATTATTATAATGTATACTATGCAGTAAATAACTAACACTTTTGATATTGTATGATACGGTAAAAATAGACTTAAAGAACTCTTACTGACACCTTATCGCTATTTATAGTTTTATTTCAGTATCATGATATTTACATTGCTGTAATTCTGTATTTTACTTTTCAAGCACAGCATATTTTTTAAATGGTACTAAATAACGAAAGAATGTTTCCGAGATTTCAATATAAATCTAATAAGCAGTTTATTTAAATAAATGACGATGGTTATAGGCTTACATTTTACGCTGGTTGATAGTCATTTTCGCTACTAGTTCATTGCATGAATCTGCATACTTTCGATTACTTTATGATTAGTCTATAAACATATACACGCTATTATCGTATTTCGATGCAGATATTTCTGCGACGAAAAAATGCCCACCACTTTCTTTCCCCTGTAGGTTTAGTTAGTTAAACTCTTCTTAATAATTAGCTATCGCATACTAAGCTATAAGTAGATACAATATTTAACATTGCTGCCCTGGTCGATTTCGCCTTCGTTATAAACTACCAATTATTCTAAATTAGGAAACTTTGATCTGTTATATTGGATTGGATCGATCAGTCGGTCTTTCCGTCCAATGAGACCATCGCAACGTCGTACTATAGTCAGCACAATCAGCAATGGGCCAGTCTCCAACCGCCCTGGCATTAGCTCTGCAGAAATAAATCAAGATCAATGCTAGCAACCAACTTACAATTCAGTCATTTGATTCTAAGAATTTGTTTCAGCAAGGATAGAATAGCTTCGATCTTATGGCAAAGTCAATTAGTTGAGCTTTAGCTTATATGGAATGAAAACATTGGAAATCGATTATTACAATCGAGTGGTTGTCGTTGAATTAAAGGAAACGCAATGTCGCAATATTTGGATATCCTGCTTATTTTATTACTATTATTCCACTGTCTTGATTCATACCGTAAAAGTGTTCAAGATGACATTAGGTTAGGATGAATTGTCCCCTTTTTATTAGCTGTAATAATCCAGATTAAATTAATATTAAACAGATTTATATAAAAGAATTGATTACAACCTTGCAACATACAGTAAAGCTGCAACTATTATGTAATTATTGCAGGTTTGCATCGTAGTGTTAAGTAGTTTTGCCGTAGGATATATTGTTAGAGTACAGTACATGTAGCACATGTACCTTACTTCTACTTTTAGTATAAATGCATCGATGAATAAGTAGTCTCACATAGTGAAAAGGAAGTTGTCAGTAGTAGTCTAGCTCAAAGATTAGTGCTAAGTAGAGCATATTACAATACTCAATTGCAGTTTGCAATGTACAACGAGAGTATCTGCAGTTATGTATCCATGCTACAGTAATTAGTTACACCGCCATATCGTAGCATTGCGCAGTATGGATATGTATTAGAATAGATATATGGTAATTAGATCATGTTTAAATACTCAATTGTAATTTACAATGTGCAGCAAGAGCATCCGCATCCATGGTAGAGTAGTCGCACTTTTACGTCGTGAAATTACGATGTGTGCAGGATATGTCATTAGAATATGTGCGGTTAGATCACTTTGAAACACTCAGATGTGATTTTACAATTTACAGCAAAAGCATCTGGATCTATGGTAAAATAATTGCGCTTCATACAATCATGTAGTACTGTGCTAGTATGGGATATGTAATTAAAGTATATGCAATGAACATACCCTGTTTTACGTTCCAGTATGAATAAGCTATCTCACTCAGTAACTAAGCGTGTACAATAACTGAATTGTAGTCAATGCATTTGTATGACGATATTATACCTGCAAGATTTTACACTACACATAACCTAGGTACTTTATTATCAAACATACGATATTAAAGGCAACAATTTGCTTCAACAATTACCTAACTCATATTAATATCTTGATACAGTTGCGTAGATACTAAATCAAATGTCAATAACCGAATCTCTAATTATAATATGCAGTAAACGCTTGTGTATCAATAATCATCAAATTCTGCCTTATTTTTACACATTTTAAATAGTATATTTTAACTAACGGTTTTATATCACAATTCATGACCTACATCTTATACGTATAACACTTAATAGGTGATAATTATAATTATAGTGCAGTAACACTTTATACCTACGAGTATCTAAATTTACATGTACATCTATTTCTCTTGCCGTTATTACCACATGAAATATACTGTAGAAATATATCAAGTTATTTTAGCAGGATTCCATCCAGGCTAATATGGTTGTTTACTTCCGAATTCCATTTTTCTTTAGGCATAGTTGTCACTATGATTTCAAAGTCTTATGGTCCTATCGACTTGGTCATTCGCCCGTGGTATCTCCACCAGTTATTTTTGACATTGATGCAAATGGTATAAAAGATGTCATTGCTACATCTTACGCAGATCAGTTTACAATTCTACAAGGCAACAGTGGTAAGCATCTAGAAGGCGTCTGGCCACTACACATGAAAGAGGTCACGATGTATTCCAGTCCGTTATTGGTAAGTATTTAAGAAGAAGTATTATTGTGATTTATCACCATCCAGGTTAAAGATACTTGATTATAATTATTTGATACATATTTTACGATAATCCTTTGTACTTCAAATAATATCGTTTTTGCTAGATAAAATTTTATAATTAACAAGAAAGGGAATTTTCTGTATTGTCAATGACTCTAAAAAGAAACTTTGTTACACTTTAGTATGACATTGACCATGATTTAGAGATGGATTCTTTATTGTCCACCTATGATGGAGAGATTATTTTCTTTCGAAATAACGGTACCAAATTAAAGAATAAGAAAATTAAGGTTAGAAAATAATAGTATTCGGAAATAGCAAACCATTTTTATCCTTAAATTAATCGCATAGGTTGACGTAAGCAATACATAATTATCATATTTCACCGAAATATTATTTTAATTAGATTCCAAAGCATAAAATCAGCTATCGTAAACAACAATCAAATACCGAAGATAACATTACAATAAACACAAATCAAGAGAAGTCATCAAAAGAGAAGTTTCTCAAGGTTGATCCTCATATTTTAGCGACACCAGCGATTGCCGATATTAATGGAGATGGCGTAGAAGAGGAAATAGTTATTATAGTAAATTGGTATTTCGATAATGGGAATGTTAAGTAAGCATACTGTACTGAACTACGTTAAAATGTTGATACAATATTCTAAAGAATGTATAGGTTCTTAACATACATTATGCCTTTCTCGTTAAATTTCATTAGATGAATTCTTCATGAAGTAGATATTAAGATTTTGTATCATCAAAAATCGAATACGCAGTATAAACGATGTTGTGCAATTTTAAACTATTTCAGTAATTACTTGTACTGTCTATCGATTAGGCATCATTTGAATTCTCGCTCAAATATTACTAGCGGAGATGTCAGAGATGGCATACATTGTGGTGCTGTTGTCTTTAATCTTACCAACGGTAAACTAATTAAGAAAATCGTACTAGAATCGTCAAAGGTAAATTTTCTGCTGTAACACTAAATTGTTATTAGTTCATATACGTATTATCATTAAATACCATCAACGTTGCGCTCTATTTATTTCTAGATGACATCGTTATATAAGCCTTATGCTGTAGCTACACCCACACTCTTAAATTTGCAACCGCAGACTAAATCAGATTTGGATATCTTAGTTGGTACACTTTCTGGAAACCTTTATATTGTTAACCTGCACTCTAAAGATTATCCAGAACCAGTGACAATTGTTGATAATATCCAAGGACAAGTAATATATTATTGTTTCGTCACGTAGATATTCAATTTATCAATTGAAATCGCTCTATTTCACAGATAACTGTTGCAGATCTAACTGACAATGAAGGACTGGAGATCATAGTAACTGATTCTAGCGCTAACGTAAATTGTTTATCATCTAAAGGCGAAGTGGTAATTTTGCAATGTTACTTAAATTCATTAGAACCTCCGATGTATTAAACGACGTTGCTTATCCTTAATGATAAAATTATAATATGCATACTTTATGACGTATAAATAGATATGGGATTCAATGATATCTGGCACTTTCATTGCCGGAAGTCGAACAGCCGATGTCAACAATGATGCAAACCTAGATGTGATTACTGCCAGTAACGATGGGTAAGCAATAGTCGTAATTGACCAAAAGTTTATTAAATATTTTAGTCTCGCTAAAATTTGGTTTATATTAATTAGGTACGTATGGGCCTTAGATGGCAAATCAGGCAAAACACTTAAACATTGGCCAATCAATCTTCATCATCGATTACACTCTGTAGTCTTAATGACATATTTTCGAAATAATTCATTACATTTGGTACATTTTCTTTATACTACAAAAATTGCAATAGTGTTTATATACAGTTATAAATCTTATTTATCCATCTACAGTATTATTATGCTACAAGATATGATAAACTTATCTCATCTAATATGTAATTCTCGACGCAGGTAATATCGTCTATCGATGGCTACTTATTTATTATTGACTTAAAATCCCGTTGCCTAGAAGTATTACGTTTTGGCACTCATGCCGTTGGAGCAACTGTACAAATTTTAGCAGATGATATAGTTCCTGAAGTGCCTGGGCTAGAACTTATTCTAGCAACTCTAGATGGTAATATTATATGTTTAGGAGAAAAAGAAAATGGTCATAAACTTCAAACGTACGTTGAAATTTTAAAAGTGGTTGTGAATATCGATGTACATGTATTCCATCATTAAGTACTTTTCGTATCTTTAGCAACAAGTATCAATATTATAGGAATTAGGCTGTTCAAAATATCGATTTTTATTTATTTGATTTCAGACCTTCAAATGATCTAAATTCTTGGCCATCTGAAACCCTGTCGTATAATGGTTTTACCCCAAGGATGCAGAATGTACATATCATACCGTAGCTTCTGCCATAGTTGATATTATCATATGCTAATCATCAAATCTTAGTCATCCGCTGACAATTTTTTTGAATTTATTGCTATACTTATTATATAGATCGGCGTAATTATTAAAGAATGTCCTCATGAAGTGAACCAAATGCAATTTGCTATAAAATTTGAAATTTACGATAATTCCATGTCAAGACGTATGTCAAATAATAATCCCCCGTATCATGTGAAGGTAAGTTTCGCTGTTGTACCGTTCAATGTAATCATAATCATTTTAGGATTTAGCAACACTGGTCTGCAATTATTAAGCACTTTTAATATTGAATATAGATTTACATTGGTAGCAACCATGTCCTTCTTAACACAAGCTATCAGAATGCTGGACTTTTTGAAGAAAATTTAAACAGCTTAACTTATCCCAAGAGAACGCTTCTGACTATCCGATTGACCAATTACCATTCCGAAACCATAACAGACTCTATTGCAATCAGGTTAAAACCTTAATTATAACTACTATATAAGCTCTTAATAGACAAACATTAACTAATATAAATTAAAAATCATTTTAAAAATATTTTAACAACACACACTCATGCACGTACAGTTTTCACACAACTCTGGCACTCGAACTGCAAATCTGGCTTTTTGGGACATTTACAAGTTTAATGCTAATTCTATTAGCAACACGAGGATTTTCTGATCGGCTAATATTACCGACTTCAAGAGAATAACAGCACAATTATCATCATATCATGATCAGGAGAATCGTATGGATTACTGTTGAATAAGCAATGTGTATCACATTCTATTCAAGAGTTGAAGTTATTATCATTGAAGCTCATGACGTCTTAATATATGAAATTATATATATATATACAATGATATGTTCTTATTTATAAATGCGTATTACCGATATATCTGTATTCTAGTTACGTTTTGTAATGCTCTGTCTTATCTCGGCAGATAAGTAAACATACTGTACATATATGATTATAATCTACCTCCTGGTACACTGTGTGTAAATATATAAATTTACAATATCTAAGCGAGGGCATATGATTTCTAGTATATTCAAATACTTTTTGCACTTAATTTACATCTTTACTGGATCTGTATAGATCGTATCACATTTTTTATCTCAATGAAATTATGATACAATAGCGTTTGGCCGTAGAATGAATGAATGAATTAATTCCTTACGTGACCTGTACAACAAGGTAAAAACTAATGGTATATCACTAATTATTAAAAATAAAATATCAAAACATCTAGATCTGAGGCAATTTAACGCTGATACAACTTAAATAATCATGGCAAATTTAATTCGATTTCTTATAAATATAAGATTGCAAATTTAGCTTCGTTTGAACAACTTTTTTCCCCGAAGCTTTATTAACATGATCCGGCCTTTTCAATCTCAAATTCATCCGTTTTTTCGAGGACACTCTTCGAAGTCCAGATACTCGACATTTGTTATTTGCATATGTTGCGAGAGTAGATAAGGCAGAAGCATTTTCTGTAGTCTTAACCTAAATTGATTTATGATTAATCTCCATCAGAAAAGAACTTGCATACCCAAAGGAATACTGTACGATATCATGATATCAAGCTGATAACAAACTCAATAAATTTCGTCCATACCTGACGAACAGTAAAATCGGTGATTAAACGTTCAGTTGAAAATTTACCGTTGTCTTTATTTAAACTGCTATCTTTATTCCAGTGGAATGCTTTCAGAGAATCGGCAAAAGTATCCAACTTTTCCGGTGAACTATTAATATCTACGACTTTAATAGTTGTTATTTCAGTCATGGCTGTGTTAGATAGAGTCTCATAGGTCTCTTTGTCATCTAGTGATTTATCACACTTTAAAGTTTCAAGCTTATCGCACACCATTACAGGTGTCTCGTCAAGGTTACTTTTCTGCTGGTCTTTATCTTCATCACTTAAATCGGAGCCATCAATATCTGCAATACCGCTATCAACTGAGCCATTAACTTCATCTGATTTTTTAAAACTTTCCTCTACAATTGTTGTTTCAGCTACATTAACATTTGACGATGTAGACGTTTTGCTATTGTCTAAAGCAATTTGTCGCTTCTGGCGAAATGTATACAGAATGTGAGTCTGTTCCTTGTGCCCTTTAGTTACATCATCTGAACTTGAATTTCTTTTAAAATACCTGATAATTTTTTAAACACACTATCAGAGTAATGAACAACAGATCATGTACAAGCTTTATAATCTTACTTGCTCCCGTGCCAGCTGGATGGTTCACTATGTATCGGTTGTAGAACCTTCTCCTTCGAAATATTTTCATTGGCAAAGCTATCTGTTAGTGCTCTTCGAACTTTAGGAGGGCTAGCATCTTCCATAGTTTCATCATCAGTTTCAGGGATATTCTCTTTATTTTCAACTGCAATAAGGGAGATTATGTGAGGGGTTATAATATATCCTAACGCAAAGAATAAGCTAAAATAATTGAAAGATTTATTTTGCAATTAGATCAATCATGATACCTATGGGCAAACTTTTAGTTCTTGGTAACTGAAATTGACTCTTCAATTTTGCTGGTGGACTCTGTAATTTCATATACTTACTTAAAACAGATTGAATAGGATAACTATGCCTTTTTTTCCGTTTAAAGTTGGTATTGTTCTCATTAGCTTTAAAAATCTTTGGATCTATTGAAGCGTTACTTTCCTGCTGTATTTTTAAAATGTTAATATTTATGATTATTTAGTATCACTAATCCGATAGAACTTTAGATATCAAGGATTAAATAAAATTATCTACAGTATTTACATTATCATATTGGTATTCATATTCATTGAAAGTACATCTGCATATTACTGTTACCTTAAGCGGATCATAATCATTTAAGATCTCTCCAGTAATAGGATCTATATTCCCGTAAGCTATTGAAATAGCCTTTTCTTTCGTTAATAATCTTTAAATGAGTTAAGAAGAATGCATGTCGAGACGATTACCATTCATGTCATATATTAGATAACAGTATTTTTAATTTGAAGAGTGATTTGGTTAGTCAGTCCCAAGCTTAGGGATTCTTTCTTAATGAAGGATACTGTCCAGCATGTTCAAGAGTAGATGGTTCAATATCTTTCGGATAAGGTGTTAAAGGTATAGTCGTTTTCGTTACAGGATCAAAAACTACTTGATATAAAAACGTTTCATCCGCCATTTTGAACTGTGTTTCGTAATTCTTTGGGACTTTCATGGTATTTTGTCGTCTTATATATTTAATAGCCTACGACAGTAAAACAATCGAGCCAACTTACATTAGTATGCATGTACTTAGTACATTGTACTATGGTTACGTAGCGCCTGGCAGAGGTGTATAGAAGGAAACACTCTACTTTATCAAAAAATATATTTATATAAAAATCGGATAATAGCGATACCAACTTACACTGTAAACCTTCATGCGATTTCTTTTCATGATCTTATAAGCCGTTTTTAATCCCATTCCAGGAATAGATGGGAGATAATCACACCCTGACAAAATGCATATGTGACGAAAAGCCTCATGGTCGACTCCATTTAGATCGATGTCTTTCACTTCGCGTAAACGATCTAGCCTAATTTCAATACCTCTTCCATTTGGATCCAATTTAAATAATACCTATAATTTTTGGTAGCCAGAATCAGTTATAGTTAGACAAAGGCCTAGTCAAGCGGATAGTTATTTACTTTAGGGCCGGCAGACAAACACTAATGATTAGTTGACACAGTGAGAAATGTCTTCCATTGCGTTAAAAACTTTAAAAATTAAGATACCTTTTTACATCCGAATACCAATAAGTCTGAATCTTCCGTAATGACTGCATCAACCAAATCAGCTTTAGATAAGTAGGCCAATTGGGCATCAGCTTCATATGGGGCAACTATGCATTCAATATCTTTCTTTCTACATTCCTATCAATTGTTAAAAGGTACCATCCGGTAAATCAGAAAATAGTCTACGAGATATAGTATTATAATAATCAAATGGCAATACTAAATTTTGAATCAATTCCAATCTTGCCTTAATCAGTTCTAATGCCATTGCAGGAGTAATATCGACAGCACGACGAAAGCAATCTAATGCATCAATATACTTATCTTGACGTAAGTATTCTATTCCTTTAGATTTGTTGAACTGACGATTTCTAAAATATCAAAAATAAAGAAATAAAGAATAAATATACCACTGTTATAGAATATTGTAGGATATTATAAAATACTAACATACGCATTTCATTACTACTGTATGCTATTGACATACGTTTATAAAGTGCTGTAGCATTTATCTTTGTAAGCATTAGATTATATGTGATTGATAAAGTGAATTGAATTACAATGTAAAAATCATGAATACTCACTAAAGTACAAAAATGTAGCTGGCACTGTAATACAATTTTTACTATCATAAAAACTTACAATTTTCGCTCTTCCTCTTTTTGCATCTTACTAGGTAGGTGACCACCATCAAAGACCATAATAGGCTTTACGTTAAAATTTATTAACATTTCTATTCTTTTCATGCAATAATTTACGTACCTACATGATGAATAGGATTCAAAAATAAGTAAACAATATTTAAAGTTTTACGAGCCCATGTCATCTTGAGAAAGACGCGCTAAAGTCTATGTGTTGATAATATCCAATTCATGATTATACGTGAAATATAATTGAATATTAAAAGACTGTGTTGCCAATGTCTGGTGCCAATTTTGCTTAACACTGTTCCAAAAAGTATTCTCAAGATAGAATTACTAAAACGGTCAATACGCGTATAAATCTAGAATTAAATTTGATACAATACTAAGTTTATAATACTAAGTTTAGTCGTATCCGCTTGCCTTTAGAGCTATTAGAATTGTTAATAAATAAAAAGTTCCGCCGATGTACTATACGAGTATGTCGTATAAGTAATAGCATTGTTGATGATCTGGTCTTCACTTACATTCTCGTAGCCTTGCCTTCGATAATTTCCTTTGAACATCCATAGACCCCTCTATGTAACCAGCAGTACGAATCTACTGCCACAGTACAACCAGCAAATTCTTCGATACGAGCAGGTCTTTGAATTGCCTTAAGTAAAGGCAATAAACCTTGAATGCCCATGATTACTCCTTGAAATTTACTTTAGCCGCAGCACATATAGGTTATAATTGTTAGAAGTCAGTCAGGTTCCTCTTTTTAAAATACACTCTATCCCCGAATGATATAATATACGAGTATGAGGTATAGGCGAACAATTACCACTAAATCCAATGTAAAAGAGAATTAAGCGCAACCGTGGATACCTATAATCATAATAGGGTGTAAAATATATCAATTTTGACATTCAATTAGTAGCATACAGTTATTGATTGATTTGATCGATTCTCGAAATATCAACCTGGTATTTATAGCTGTTAGTTTGTTTACAACATTTAACTGACTGTTCTACATAGTTAAAATTTATCCTATTTCAAATAGTGTAGACTTGGTGATGCTCTACTTTGCTATCGTTGTACGTACTTGTATACTGTAGCTCAACGAGGATGTTATTGTGACCGACTTGAACAGAAATTTATGGTAAGTCACTCTGCCATAAGGATAATTTCCTTCATCAGAGATTGCCTAATATCGAATTTTATTGAAGTACTGCATTCTATTATCGTCTCTGATATTTTAAACCAAGGTTACTCCCTGTATAACTATGCATTCATATGGCTATGACATGAAAGAATGAAGAGTAAGATCCTCGATTTCCAAAGAAATGGACCGTATGAGTTTATTTTTAAACTGATTCATTGTACTGTACATGATTGAAAAAATTAAATGACACTGTTTCTTCCAATCAATGTTGAAATAATGCAGATTTTAATGCTCATCTGTAAAGAGAATCAAGGATTTGTTGATCATTTTACGTGGTTGGAAATTATTGAACTGCTAGCCAAGTATGTCGACAGAAATGGATCATCATCAGTCAGCTCCTACTGTATCATGGCATGGTGTCGCTAAATTTTCTATCTTTATGGATAGTATTCATCAAATAATGACATTACTCTATACAACATATCACAATTCTACACGTTATTGACTGCTTGCTAGCAACTTGAGGATAGCCTACGACTGTTGTATGTCTTGGAAAAAGCATTTACACCTATCAATGGCGCTACCTATCCGATATGATCATGCATCGCTCATGACAGACTGAATTATAGACTTTCTCTCTACTTTGAACTACGATTACACAGTCAATAACTTATCATTTAACATTATTCAATCAATCCTAAGGGAAATTTAATAGACTAACTGTGGTCTAATCATGGATAACTGTTTAATTACCTGCCATTTCTACTTTTTGATCCAAGGTTGCACACCATAAAGTCAAAAGTGTTTGTCAGTGCTGGCAATCCCAGTGTTGAAATACTTGGTGAGATTTCAAGTTTTCCCGCCGTGGATACAGACGTGCAGACAGAGATGTCTGTATGTTCCCTACTGTATGACTCACTGTGTCCAAAACACAGTCGGATTCATACATAGTCCGTCTTTGAGGCTAACTATAGGGACAACTATGGACAGTATACCACAGTTACTGTACTGTACACTGTGCAGTAGAGTAGACCAACATGTGTGAAACAAATGTCATATTAAGTCCTTGTTTTATACTGTAAATACCATTGTCATTTACGACATCTATTTTACTTACATATGTCATCCAATATTTCACTGTACTACTTCGCTGTAGAAGAATAAAATAGGGCCGGCGCATTATTTTATTTCAAGTACTTTACTGCTTTTCTACGTCTGCTAGGAGGAGAATTAGAATGCCTCCTTCTGACCAGCTAGTGGCCTCTTCTTTGCCGCTTATTACAGTGGTAGAGTTCGAAGCTCTCTTTGCCATCTTTGTACTGTACTGTACAGTATAGTATGGGATAGCAATTCCGGTGTACACTGTACAGTACTGTACTGGAGGTGTTTTTGTCTTCACGCATGTTCAGTAAAATACTACAGTGTACAGTGCAGCGTCCTACTGCATAGTACTGTACTGAAGAACGAAAGTACTGTAACTTGCGTGAGACACTCAACCATCGAGAGATCCTTGTAGACAGACAATCTTGGAAATCATGGCGGAACCATCGCCGCTGCAAATCTCTTGGCAAGACAGCAATTGGATCCCCAATCTTACTCCTGATAATGTATTAGACTATTTCTCACAGCGTAGTAACCCATTCTATGATCGAACATGTAATAATGAAGTGATCAAGATGCAGAGATTAGAAGCATCACGGTTAAAGTAAGCACAGCCAATGAATTGAAACACTGCTACACTTTCATTCTCTATAGCAGATTCTACGACGCTTTCTTTTCGACGCGTCGAAATCAATCAAAACGTCATGAAAAATACTGGACTGTTGTAAAATGAACCTTGTACTTTACTATGATGATGGAAGTAGAATACTATTCGGCTTACATTTTCGACATCGACAAGTACCCAGCAGTTTTTCTACCTATTGCGCTATGCCTTAGTATTATCGATGGACTGGTCTAGTACAGTATAAGTTATCCAGTTGAATAAATTGCATCTGTCTACATGTGGATTAAAATAGTTACATGCTCCAATTGGTGTAACGAGTTGTTAAGCCAATATAAACAAATAGGCTCATATCAGGTTTACTCTTGCACGAAATACTGTACTGTATACATTATTTTCTCGGCTTATTATGAATACATCATAAACTACAAAAATGGTTAGGTTCGAATCTCGGACAAAAACTTCTACTGTCGCAGCATCGAATGTAGGCTACTAAAGAGACTCTTCTCTTTAATAGTCCTTGATCCAATCACGTTTTCATTGTGAACAATGATCACAAATGTTTTTATGCCATATCCAAGCCACATTATTCCTCTATGCAATAATACTACTGTACATCTAAGAGAGGAACTCACTTCTACTTTTGTTATTCATTCAAATATTGCAATGGCCTAGATCTTTAACTGGTATTGAATACGATCTAATCCACGTACAAGATCCAATCTTATACATTATACGTAAGCAGCATAGACATTCACCAACAGAAGGTAAGAATGCATATTTTAACCTACATAACAGAATAGTTTGATCTTTTAAAGACTTAAAGTTGAAACACTGCAGTAATTGCATTAAACCATAATAACTTTGTTGCAATTGTCATACGTAGTATGGCAATGTTATAGCAATATCCTTCTACTGTATTCTATGTACAGTACTTTTGCGCAATCAGAACCTAATACCTATGTTTATTTTATACCATTTAAATTCAAAACTAAGTAAACTCGTAAATGAAATGATGTATTATAGAGTTTTGCTTATATTGTTACGGATCAACAGATTAGCTTATAGCGTTGCCATATGACGTTCAAAATACTTTTCGCTTGAACTACAGTAAAATGTATATATAACTACACTAAAATGTGGTAATTACAAAATATTGATACTAGTATCCTAGCTAAAAATAAATCTGCAATGACTACAGTGGCCATATTTATAAATTTTTTACAGTTACTCCACTGGCTGAATATTATGTTTTAGCTGGTGTGGTTTACCAAGCTCCTGACCTTGCCTCTGTATTAAATTCCAGATTGGTAAGTTAACGTATTGCAGTGGATTTAGTAACAAATGATACGTCACATTGCATACTCTGAAGGACAGTATGTTTATAATGTAATCATATTAAAGATTCAATTCTTTGTCAATCTTATAGCTATCGGCGTTATACCATATTCAATCGGCCTATAATGAAGGTATTTTATTACATAAATGAAAAATCTTTGTAAAAAAATTATTATTGTCTTATAACTTTTAAACAGAGTTTAATATAATGGTATTACGCCATCCCTGCATTTTAAGAAGAGCGTTGTAATGCTCTTTCACTTGCATATTCAATTATACATACCCTAATATCAGCATCTGGATAAGCCTACTATAATTAAAATTGCCATTCAAATATGTAATTGGACTCTTGATACTTTTATTAGTCGTGCTATTCTAAATTTTACATACTGTCTCAATGTAATCAGCTGGCAAAGTTTAATTGCAAGATAACAACCCTGCTAATTGCTACACCGCCTGATAATCCTATTATATCCTATATTCTGATATAATATACTTTAAAATATATATAATTATAGCAATGTCCTATTCACGTTTTGAAGCTGGTAAAGATTATTACTGGGAATTTGAAAAGAAAGGTATAACGTCTCCTAGAAGACCATGTCTTTAAAATACCTATCTTTAATATGTATCTGTAATATTACTCATGTTGAGGTATCTCCTTCAATAATGTAGCAAAATCGAAAGCAGCTTCTTCAAACCGTCATGAACTTTCCAGTACCTTGTTTCAGAGGAAAAAAGTCGATGCAGTATTGACAGACTTTTCAAAAAAATTCCCCCCAAAACACATCAAGGTTGCAAACTTGTCAATATCTCAATTTCATATCATCGAAATTATATCCATTAAATAACCTAAATATATTATATACATTTATATTTTAGCCTTCTTTTTGGGGAAGTCAGCAATCCAATGGTAAGGCGATTAATAATAGTGCATGCGGATGTAAATTGTTAATTATAACACCATGGGAAGAGCAATTTATCTATTTAACACTAACCCTATCTATGAAATTTCCTTCCTCTTATCGCTATGACTATCAAGGTGTAGATAATCCTGATGGTGTCACTCAGGCTGACAACCAAAACGTCAAAAACCAAGGCAGAAATGATCTTTTGGAGAATGGGCAAAAACATTTACGTGATAACTTCAATACTGGCAATGAATTAACCGAAAACATCGATGCACAAATGATACCTAACAAAAAGAGGAAACTGTAAATTTATTGCAAATTTCGCCAATCGATTACTTAAGTGATTATACGTATCTTGGCTTACTATATAGTAATGTAAAAACATTAAAAACTTTTGTAGTAATACAGTAATTCGCCGTTTATTGATTTCCTTCGACGGTACACATACTTGTACTAGATCGAATGCAAATTTAAAACTATTGCTACAACCGATATAGCATTCTAACTCTGTCCAAAGTAATTTATACATAGTAACAACAATGAGGCAGAATACTATAGTTTATAAATTGTTCATAGGATTATACCATATAATAATTTATCCGCAAGATAGAGTGTTTATAATTAAAGTTTGGAACGGTCATTCAACCATGTTGAATAGAAATTTCGATTCATAATAATTTTTAATAATCGTAAACTGTCTACCTTCCTAGTAATTACTAGTTACTTACCGCATCTTGAATAATGTATATCCATTGTGTTATATATTTTATTAAATGATATATACTGCCCAATGGTATTTTTGCAATTAATTGTGGACTCCCCTGATCAATCAAAATTATTTACGAAATAATCATTACCAAAAACTTGCGGACAACGACATTTAGTCGTTAGGGTTTACGAGAAGGTCGGTGCTAAATTAACAAAGTATGCCTACAATGTACTCATCGTACTTTTACAGTACAGTTACATTACAATTAGTATCAGGCCGTAAGCAATACCCCTATTAACATATGTAAGTATTTTATTATTACAAAATTATTACAACATGTAAGACACATTGAAATATCTCTTCCATTCCAGTTTTCGTAACATCAATGACAAAACTTATTCTCGTGTAAAATTGTCAGACATACATATATCGTTACGTTTATATCTATATATATATATATATGTATATATACATTATGACAAAATACTACTACATAATACGAATATATTGTTAGATTGCGATGAAATATTGGTCGAAAATTTTATATTAGGCATAATGCGACACATCCGTCCATTAGTTATAAAATTAAATACTCATACTATAGATAAATCATTCTCACAGTAAATCTATAACATAAATTGATATAGCTAACTATGCACCAGTATATAATGACAAGAAATAAATGTATAGGAGAAAGGTAGGGTAAAATAACAGTAGTCGCTTTTTGCTCAAGTCTTCATCCACTAATAATGATCCAGCACTGTAAGATGCCCATATAACACCTAAAACCTGTAACATATGAATACGAGTATATATGTATATTACCGAATGGCATAAAAGATAATACGTTCACGCTGAACAATACAACTTTTAAGGTTAAAGCTCTAATCCCATACCTCCACGGCTAAAGTTAGATATCTACTAAATCGTACAACAGGAATAACAGTCGCAGTAACTGCCAGTGGCAATAAAGAGTATCCGATAATACCTAAACAAGTCGAATAGTTGACCTACAAAGGCAATTTTAGGAGTTCATTAATAACTTTAACTCAGCCTAAACTTGCAACAGACAAATTTTTGTTGTTTGACATATTTCTTCATTATCGTTACCTCTCCTCCTAAAACTCTTGCTAATAAGAATATTACCAGAGAACCAATTATCCATACTGTGATAATCCAAGAAATAACCTACAAAGACATAAATTACAATTCATTGCAAAATCAGGCACTGGCAAGCAAAAATAGGAGGCAAGGCATAAAGTTAGACTGCCCTATCTAATCAATTTAGCTTGTAAATCAAGTTTTTACATTTTACATTGCGTGAATTTAGACATATTAATTATGTAAAAGTAAAAACTGAGAAAATAGCGATATTTGAAAGTGCAAGTGCCACAATAAGTGTACTATTCATGTGTATAGTGCACTAAATACCACATTACAACTGATAGCCATCACTTGTGATCAATGAGTGCAGCAACTACACGTAATTAATGTACATTATTGAAGTGTATAACTTGGTATGTAATGATTTACTATCGAAAATCTAAGATTATAACTTTTAAGTCATCGTACAGAAATATACCTAAGTCATTCTGAAATTTAATTGCTCGTCCAATCCAACGTTACATAAAGCTAGTCGTATTCATTCTATCTTAAGACTTAGTGCTACGTTATTCTCAAGGTAAAGAATCTTAACTATCTACCTCCTTACAAAAAGGTCAAAACAATGTTGAAATAGACTACAAAATCTCAATGTAAATACTACACGTATAACATTGTTATTAATAAAATATTGCATTTCTTATTTTACAGCATTGCTACTGTATACTTGAACATGTTGCACTTGTACACTGTTTTACTACTGTGCGAATGGCAAGAATTTTATAAACATCATTTAGTAGCACTGTTTAAATAAACGTTAAATCAATAACACCATTTTAAAGATGTCATTGCAAGGAGTATGATTAGTACACAATCACCATACAGTACTCGAACAGTACTGGTAGAGTATACGCATAACTAGAATATTGATAGTAAAAGATAGCGCTAGTATCGATATTATTTTACTACCTTAAGAATTCATGCCGTATATTGTAAACCAGTACAAACTGAGAAAATTAAATAGAAGTATCATAATAAATTTATATAATACAATATAGTACATACTTGAAGCTGCCCATAAAGAGAAAAAGCGCTAAATATTAGTACCACCAGAAGGGGTCCCCAAAAATCAGGATTATCGCGAATGATTTTCTTTTTGAAGCCAAGGAAAGGAAAGGGAAATAGTACACAACGAATCTTGTAGTAGATATCGGTCAAATCAACATCCAATTCTTCTCTATAACAATCGATACACACAAGAGAAAACAGATGGTTGATGTAAATACAAGAAAGTCGAAAGAAATACAACTACAAAATAAAATAGATCGTATTGTAGTCAATACGATTCATCTTATCAATTTCGAAATATTTTAAATCATGAAACTTTAAAACACAGCATTGAAACAAAACATGACCGAATGTATGACACTAACATTTTAATACCGCATTTAAACCATATTTAGCAACCCGATTGAAGAGGAAATTGCAATATATGAGTCCAAAGCAGAAGCAGTGGATGTAAGGATAATTGTGTTATAGTCATTATCCTTATTCAACAAGTCTATGACATATATACGAACATATATAGTGATGATATCCATTTTCAAATGCATGACTAGACTGGTAGAATTACTTTTAACTGAATATCAAGTATAATATTGATCATCAAACATTTTCCTGCTTGCAATGGAGCGATACATGAAGACGAAAATGAGGGTCATTTATATAATACAATTGACCTCAACATCGCTCGCTTCATAATTGGAATAAGTAAATTCAAAGTCAAAGACAAGCTAAAATCCTCCTAATGTAAAATTTCATCGTGTTACTATCTCACTTACAAAAGAGGTTTTTGATATTCCTCATCCGATGTTTCTTGAACTTCCATAAGCCATCCAAATCCTCTCTTATTTAAAAAATCAGCAACATGGCCTGAAGCTTTGGAAGTAGGTCCCATCGACGAATCAAATCCATTGCGGGAGAAATTGCCGGCTGTTTGGCTGTACATATCGCCAGAAACCGAGTCAGGATCGACAGCTGAAGTTGAAACAAATCCATAATTGGATGGCTCGGTAGAATGGCCGAACTGATGATCATTGGTATTCAAAGTTTCTTCGTCAACTGGTATCCTGGCTACTCCATCATGATCGTTTTGATGCGCCATTGAGAGCTTTACTTGACAGTAACAGTACAAACGGAGCTTGCTAGCTGTCAAATATGCCGTCCAGTGTCGATTACAGTGTATAGTACTGTATGTTACAGTACACGATACTGTGGCAATGTCGTGATTTGTTGACTTTGACTGCACCATGGGACTTCTACAGTACTGTACTATAGTGTACCGTAGATACCTCGAAGTCTATGACTGTGCCCACTGCCCACCTGTCACCACCTAACCGGTGACCACAGTGTTGGTGCACCCTACTGACCCTAGTGTACAGTAACACTGAGAAGAAAAGAGAGGTAACACTAGCAGGGACTACACCATCTGAATTCACTCCGTGCATAAAAATTGTCACCCCTTCCCTAGAACGACAACACATCTTTTCATTCTCTTACGAGGGAAGAGGTGATAACTTTTATGCAATGGGGTACAATTTGGATGGAGTAGTCCCGGACACTGGACGGAAGGCTCATCCAAGGACTTGTGAGCTCATCGCACCGCGTAAAAAAATGTCTAGGCCGGTGGTAACCAGACCAGGCTGACCAGAATTGCGATAACATGTCGCTTTACTGGCATACTTTCTCTAGTTTTCGTATAATTAAATGGTACTTACGACTACGTAGAATAAACTGTATAAAAATTTACAGCTTTGGTGGACACCTGCTGACTATGAAATTCCACCTCTTTGAATAAAGTGATCTGATTAATCACCTTTCAGCATTGACCATGGACTGAATAGGGCAATCAACATATCTGCGCATAGATTGATATTGTCATATGATATACGTATATAAGCAGAGTCATTTGTGTATCAAGTAGCATACTGCTACAATTGGGTTTTTACTTCATAAATACATAAATTCAAGAGTCTACAACGTCATACACAGACTTTAAATACTCGTATATCGAGATCCTAACTACAAGTCCTAAAGTAAATCGAGTAGTTCATCTGCTGATAATCAATTATATAGCTTATATTATCATATTGTACAATACACTGCCTCGATTGCATGATACGATCAAACCTTGTTATTCTCAGGGTCATTAAGAACAACAGTTACAAGAAAATAATCGCTGAATCCATTCAGAGCTTGTTAATCCAGTCGGGAGTGTCTACAGCCAATCCCTTACGTTTTCTTTAAAGAAATATGAGTACCTTGGCAAATTCATTTTTTTTTTTTTTAGTTACTCTATGCAGACCCCCGATCAATTATTCTTCTTACAGCTTTGCAACCCAATCACCAGTGACCTATTAACCTTGGCATTCATTCTTTCTTTATTCTGTGTCGCAAACATAACTTTTAGTTACTATCAATTGAAGGGCTAGTGATTTGCGCTGGAGAGTAAAAAATAATCAATTTATTTAAATTAGACTATTTCAGCCCAACGCTATCATGAATTCAATAATATACCTCACATTCAATATTTATCGGCCGTATTTTTACTTGCTTGCCTTCAATTGCTGTATATTACCTCTTGCCTACATACGTAGTATCCTTACGATAAAAGTGCAATTCAATTGAATTTAACCTTCTATGCATTTATACGTTGTACATGCCTATTAGATTACAATTCATGTTATTTTAGCTACTGCATAGCAAATAATAACATCCATTGATCGCCACCCCTCCCTAAAATAGTTATTGTCCTTCTGATGGTAATGCATGATGGCTAAGATAACTCGTGTCGTTGCTGCAGTAAATTTGATATTAGCGATAGCCTACGTCGTCATAGCAATAGCATGGGGCCAATTATTATATCCGATAAATCCTTCTTCTCAATCAGCGGAACCACTTGCTGAAATTGCCATCTTAATAGCAACGGTAAGACTCTAGGTCATGTTATACGATCATCGCATAATATCATAATCATATATAAAAATAAGTCAAAATTCTAAATTTGAACCTTTGTAAATCTCTACTATCCAAATAAGTGATTATTTTAAACAGTAATCCTCGATCATTACTACAATTAGAATAATCATCGTGAATTAGATAATATTCTTTACAGCCGATAGGATAATCAAGCTCGATTGAAAATCTATAAAATAGTCGCTTAATAACCATGATCACCGAGTACTAATAATTGTGATCAAGGACTGTGGACTGTCAAATTAGGGACGATACAAATGAAAAACATCATTAAAATTAAAATAGGAAAAGAATAATGATAATACCACAGTGCTTGAAATATTCTGTATGAACTCTAAACATGCTGCATATTGCATCAGTCACCAGCATAGAAACATGTAAAGTTGGCGGCAGACCATACTTGTTCAAGTTTAGAAACGTTTCGAATCAACAAGTTGATTATCTCTTCTAATTGAAGTCCTGCATTCGCGTCTAACCGATTAAATATCAGTTAATGACTGATTTAATACAGGAATAACAACATGAAAAAAATCGTAACCTTATAGTAGAGTAATTGATTATCATAATGCTAGAGCTTTCAAAACGTGTCATTCCTAATCACTACGCTCATACTACCGACCACAAAAACTGAAATATGCGTATCAATAATAATATACTCGTACATATAATAGAATTGAAGGTAGATTCTACTTATTAATTACAATTACCATCAGAATAAATAAGATAAATATTAGCCCTGTTAAAATTTTGAAAGCAGGCAATTTTAATAGCCATGAGTACTAAACTTAAAACAAATGACTAATCAGCGACAAAAAAAGACAATATGCATATGAAAATTCAGTAATAGCAGTTATTGCATAGTAGAACAAAATAATAATGCAATAGCATTCAAAAGATATCGTATTATCTCTAAATACCATACACTAAATATATATTTACGCATATACGGTATATACTAAGGCCATTCCTAGGAGCGCTTTCAGCCTTAACTGAAAATTTTGTCAATAACGGAAATAAATTTTATCACCTACCAATAATTAATTAATAGTTATTATAATCAATTACAAATATTACAGCTAGAAGGAAACAGTATAATAAGAAATTGATTTTGATTTTTTCCCATACACGATAAGTTGGGAGCATTAGCAATGACAGGACTTTGGCAAGGAGATCACCAAAACTCTTCCGGTCAGGTTAGTTCGAAAAAAGTGTACAGTAGTCTCAGATCGAATCAAGGTAGAAGTACATGAAGAATCATTATCATGATTATAACATTATTCTAGGTTATAAAAAATTTGTTGCTAGAAATAAAAATAATTTGAATTTTTATATATTACGTAGATTGCAGCAATTATAGTCATGTCTATCATATCGATCTTCCTGGCCATTGTCAATCTCGCTAAAAGTACCCCATACATGCTGATTATTCAAGGCCAGTTTGGTTCTGCAGGATTAATAACTTATGCATTCTTCGTTCTGCTCTCAGCTATTACGATGTATTGTGAAGGTTGGATGATCGATCTCTTATATCATGAAATCGCTAATACAACTTACACCAATTCTCCCACAGCTTATGATGACAACAACTGGAAATATGACATACATAGGACTAAAATCAATAGTAAATGGATAAAGATTAATTTTATTATATCATTATCTATCTTTGGAATTGGAGTTTTATGCCTCTTTATTAATACAATGGAGCTATCCAGATCAACCATATTTTCTGGTGCTATGGTATGTGCTCTCACCTGTCACGCATTATACTGTGACTTTTGACATGAATTACAGTTACACGAGTATATACTACATAATTTTTTGCAATCAGTTTAACCAATATCTATTTGATCATTTTGTGCTCAATAAAACGGTACTGTCATGTAGATTTCCAATAAAAGTTACAAGAATATAATTTTAGTAATATAATTAAGGTATATATCGATTGTTGTTTAATCAAGATTGTACTGATTATTTTAGAGCATTGCAACCTGTACTGTTAATCTCATTGCTAATCGGAAGAAATCAATCAATTTGGTAAATGTATAAATTTAAATTTGCTTCTTGCTAGAAGGTATAACCTTAATTGTTACCTACTGGCAGTTCTAGATATTCAAAAGAGAAGAATAAATGAAACCTTTCTATTAAACCATTTGATAGTTGTATAATTGATAAGTGATCTCCCTTTAAACTATTTAAGTTTTAAAAGCTACCATGCAGTAACACTACAGTAATAATTTGTATATATAATGTACAGTATTATATCTCCTAATATATTTATAGATAAAAATCTATTTGTTACTTATTTCTGCTATGGTTGATTTTTATAGGAAATCTGGACAATTTATATGTATAGATGGTCGCTTTTGCTAACAGCCTATACAATAATTATTAACACCTTCAACTTTATGCAATCAATAGCAGCAACAGGAGAAAAACCAAGGACTACAATATTAATTTTATATATATTAACGACAGTAATGGCGTTAACACTTGCAATTACAATTTCAATTCCACTTCGCATACTACGATCGGCTATCCACATTTTCAAAGACTTCTGTCAAACATGGAATGAAGATTTATTGTTGCATATCCTTATATGCATCTACTATATAATCGGACTACTGTGCATTACAAATTCAATTCTATCGATGGTATTAATATCTGGTTATCTTTGTAGTCAGTCCAGTTTTATTATGGGTACCATAGTAAGTAGTTCCATACTTATTTAATGTTAGTGTTGATTCTTGTAATCTAAGTAACTCACTACGCAGTATACATGTTTTTCTTTCTCTTCGAAGTAAAAAGTTTCGTATTATTTCTTAGGTGTTAATACTTATAATTATATAATTAGTACAATCTCTGTACATAAAATATATGACATACCTTTGTCATTTCTAAATTAAGAATAGCTGAATTTTGTCACATTTCTGCATGTCTACTGCATTAATAATAATTTACTTGCTTACAGTATTTATTAGGAGCCACCTCCATCTTAGAGAATCGACTAGGAACGACTATGCCAACTGTAAGTAATCATTTAGAATGATTATGCTTTCGTAATCTTCATTCATAAGTGTGCTATATTAAATCTATACAGCTAGATCGGAATTAAATGAAATATTAACGATTTAATGCCATACGACATTTGATGGTCACTTTTCATTCATTATTTTTACTTTGGATTTAATTATTTTTAGAAATAAAATCTAAATGTCAAATGATGAGTAGAACTTACCCATTTTCATCTGTTTACAAATTATTTACTAATAGGATCAACTTCTTATGTAAATAAGTTAATATTTCAATGATAATTATAGGAAATAGAAAATAAAAACCTGCTAAGGTACATTTTGGCTATGGCTGTGGCCACTATTTGCACCAACGTTTTCGACTATTTCAAGCTTACATCAAATCTAAATCTAATCATTGGGAAAGATCTATTACTGATGGCATGGATAATGAATATAGTCACTTTAGCAATAGGACTCTTCGGCTATCTTTATGAATTATATTATAGCTCCTCCAGTCATCATAAAACACAACATCTTAATAATTCTCTTTATGCGTCCGCTTTTGGCGCAGTAAGTAACAATTTCACGTTTACGACAAAATGAAGTAGATACTTCTTACTTTCACAATAACGGTAAATTTTATTTACTTTACTGATAGCCTTTAAAATACGAATTCTTAGCAATAAAATCTAATATAACTGCAACTTTAATACTAATTTAACCTTTATCTAAAGTTTCTTACAAAAAATATACAACTGCTTCTGTATATTAGTATCTCTTTTATACATACTGCCTACAGGAAATTGAAATTTTATAATATATTATTTGTTGGATGGTATTTCAGAATTAGAATCACTTTGGCATCTGTGCAAAATCTCTATATGCATAACATATAGCTGCTATTAATACCCGTTAGTAATTGTAACTTATAATAATATTACTGTAGTTATAGGTATTTTGTTAATGGCAAAAAATCTATTTTGGTTTAATAATAATACATAGTTCTAGAATTAGTAAGTGATATTACAATGGCCTATAATCGCTATCTATATTTCTAACTTTATAAACTAGTGTGCTTATAGTATATATGAACAAATTTTAACTTACTATTACCTGAAAGATATACCTTTTTTTGATAATATAAAATAAGTAACTCGTAGACTTAAAATTGTCTACTATCATCCTCTAAAATAACATACTGTACATATAAAATTTCTACACTTTTTCGACTATCCTTTTCGAAATATTTCATAAAATGACTTTGCAAGACTCAAATTAAAATTTTTGATATCGTAGGAACCTTCCACACAGGAATTTGTGAACATGGGCTTCAGTCTTGATGATGGAGACGATAACGGATCGCAAATAACAAAAACCGAAGTTTAACGGGCAAAACATTTTCCAGTTTATTTAATCCTAGAGTGTAATTTTTGGAAATCTTGATCTAAATTACGATATACCAGTAAATTTAAAGCATAAGATTAGAATATCAGCTTCAGAAATTAGTCTAGTAATCGATATTATAGCGTATATTTATTTTGCAACGTAGTAGTACTGACACATAATGTAAGCATGTAAAACTATTTATTTAAAATCAATTAATAAATGATTTATAAATATTAATCCTGAATTTTAGTAATAGCCTGATAATACAAAAATTAGACAACCTTAGAGAAATGATTAGCAATATTTTAAGAATTGCAATGGTTATAATATAGACTAGAACATAAATCGAAGCTCTCACTGTAATATCATTTACTATTGTCTTTTACTATGTTGCAATCACAACACATTTCCACGTATAAGTAGATTACAGAGTATACTTATCAGTTACACTGTTATACTGTAATAAACGCCCTACCTTTTATAATCCAGTGCGATAAACGACCTAATTAAAGCGATATCCCGTATGCCTATTACGGATTATCTAACTCCTTGGCCTTTCGATATAAAAATACTTCAATAATAATAATTGAACTCCCGTTAAACTATATTAATTCTACAATGCGATAACATAACAGTATCGACTTTTATAATATGCCAATAACAGGAGGATTAAGAAAGACTACAGTGGTAGAGTATGGAACTCGTTGATATTGATTAACGGTAAATAATGATTAGATAGCAATTTATATACATGTTATGAAATGGATATAACAAGTGTAAAGAAAACTTTATATTACGTATCTATTATTATAATTTTTAAGTTTGCAATATTTTAGGTGAAGGCTGTACCATGTTTTTCCCTCATCGTTCATCTTTATTTAGCGTTATGACCTTAACATTGATATTTTCAAAACGCGCGTTTCTTTGCATCGCTATGTACAGATTATGGACAGATGCACTGTAAACCTGTAGATTGTCGGTAAACACAAGCTGAATTTATAATTACTTAATATTTAACAGAATTGCTCTGTTAATCTGTGTATTCCATCCGTCGAAAACTACCCTGAAAGTCTGTAACTGTCATACTCGTATGTACCTGTTCAACGACAGCAACAAATTTATTTAATTAATTCGAATTAGGTAAACCCACACACAATGCTGTGAGAACAAGAGCCCTGATATAATATATTACAGCGAATTTTTTTATTGCTAATTCTCTTTAGCTCTGATTCTACAGTGTAGCTGCTATATGAATAAATCCTCTTCTCTTTTATAGTATAATAAAGGATAATAAAGGGCGTTAGAAACGAAAGCTTTGTCGTACCATACCAACTTTCACAAATTTATCGTGAATGAGTGCTCTAGATTTCTATTCTTAAACGGTTGCTGTATTCACGGTTGTGGCTCATAACAATTAACGGTATATTAAATTGTAAATACATAACCAAGTCATTGCAATAATTTACAGCTTAAGTCGCCATGCGGAAAGTTTTCTTGACTCTCTTATAGGTAATTACGATATTATTTACATGTTTGGCCAAGTGCCCCTTCACTTTTCTCTTTGAAAGTACTATAAGTATTTTACTTTTCGGACCTTCTTAAGTAGAACTGTGTACGCGTATCAAGAAATAGTAATGACGATTATCAGTAATATTCAAAAGAAGTTACAAGATGGTTTTGAGAGTATATACGACAGGCAAAAAATTGAGATTTGGTGTTGACAATTGGTCATGCCGACATGGGTAAAAATCCTTTTCTCAATTACATATTAGGCCATGAAATGCTAAAGAGCGATTTCGGGATTATAGATATTATGGACCCTGCTATTATTCAGATCGGTCATGGAATAGAAACTTTATTTGCTAAACCGATTGTAAGTAAGTACTATCCTTGGGTTTTTGCAGATTTATCAAGTTTTCCAGTATACACATCATATGAGAATTCTGTTGTGGCTGCTATTAGCACTAAATTGGCGGTTCGAAATACCCGTCAGGTTAAGGGTATTGTAATTTTAAAGGAAATCACTAGTTTATGCAGTGGGAAACTATACGAATTACATATAGTTCCATAGATCACCCAATAGATGCAAGGGAAAACCGTTTTCCCCCGTTTAGGTTACTTAATTAGCGAAGTTAATCTGTTTACAATTGTTGCCGTAAACTAGTTAAAATGAGTAGATCTTGTGAGGTTGTATATTGTCATATACAATACAGTACGAGTATACATCGTGTATATATACACGTTGTCATAAATAACACGCGTAATTAAATAAGATTTATTCATTATGTTTATATTCTAACGTGGCATGATCGAATTGTAATCATACCAGGAACTACCGTACACAAAAATGAGAAGTGCAATCCAATTGGTTAGTTTCCTGCTGTTGTTAATTGTATATTTGCATTCTATATTGTTATTCGATATGACAAACACGGAAGTTTGCTGAGCCGCACCTAAGTTTCAGAAATTTACTTTCTATTGCTATTTTGAATTACAATTTTAATCTAATACTGCATCATGATATAACATATTATTATTCCATACAGTTCCATCCCTATTTTGAATTACAATTTTAATCTAATACTGCATCATGACGTAACATAGTTCATTATTCCATATAGTTCGATCGCTATTTTTTTAAAATCTTAGGTGAGACTTAGTGAAAGGAATATTTCACCAAACGAAAGGAAAGATCGCAATGATCCAGATTAGTATCAGTGAAATTCAAGCTAAATTAATAGAAGGCTATGGACTAATAAAAGATGCAAAGGGTAAAGATTTAGTACTGGTGATCGGTAATACCGGTGTGGGTAAAAGCACCTTTCTGAATTATATGCTAGGGTACAAAATGTACCAAAATGAAGAATCTGATACGGTGGAGACGGTAGAGAGAGAGTGTCCCGCACATATTGGGCATAATATGCATTCACAAACTTTGTATACACATCCGATTACAGATAAAAATTATCCTTGGGTTTTTACCGACTGTCCGGGATTTCTGGATAATAGAATGACCAATGATACGATTGTGACTTCCATTAGCATGGAATTAACTATTCGCATTGCAAAACAAGTCAAGGGGATTGTTATACTGATGGATGCGACTGAGTTTTTAAGTAGTAGATTGACTGCTTTGGGTCCGTTGATGAAGATATTGATTAAATTATTTCGAGATCCAGTTGAAATGTTAAAGTATTCTGTAATTGGTGTGACAAAACTAGATCAAATAAAGGGAGGAAAAACGAGGGCTAAGAAAATAACGTTACAAGGTTTGAATAAAATTAAAGAAGAATGTCGTAGAAGAATAAAAACTCTTGAGACAGAGAAGAGAGAAAGAGATGGAACAGATTTGATTATCAGTGAATATAAAGTGATGGAAGAGTTTACTAGTGCAGTACTTGGTCGTAAAGATGATATCATGTTTATTGATATTCTTGATGATGGTGATTCAAAACAGCTCGTAACCGATCGTATTTGTGCCATTAGATCGAGAACTGAAGCTCAAACTGATCAGTTACCACATGATACTTCTCCACCTCCAATATCAACATCTACTAGTAATGCTCAACAAGATGCACTGCCGTTACCGCTAATTACGATCGCAGACTTCAATTTTGAAGATTATGATATCAATAGAACAAGCTTTAATAAAGCAATTTACGATTTGGCTGGTGAAGGTAATCAGCTAATCGGTGCAATTACAGGAGTTACAGATCAGCTTAAACGTGCGATTGATTTGTGGAATGATAACAAAAAGAGAATGACGTCGATGAAAAGATTGAGATCGGAGTTGGACAGTTATGTTTCTGCTTCTGAAGTCCCAACAAAATTAATAAACACTTGGTCAGAAATGCTTGAAGAAAATGAACAATCTATCCAGTCTGAAAAAAGAAAGATGCAGTCTGTTAATGACCAGTTAAAAAAATTTAAACAAGAATTGAATGAAATTAATACTGATAAGCCCGTGATATTTGCTGAAAAGAAGTATATCAAAAAGGAGCAATATTGGACCTATCATGAAGTCCTTTTTGATTTTGATACTGAAGATGAACGGACACCAATTGTTGATATCGATCAACGAATAGGTAGTGGTCGCTGGTGCAGTACAACAGATGAAAGGCGGAGAGGCCGATATAAAACGTGGTATCAATCTGGCTGGTGGAAAAGTGGGGATGCTACTATGACGGTTTATATTGCTTCTAAGCATGATACAGGTAATCGTAGACGTATTAAAGATCTTCGAGTAGAAATTAGTCGATGCAAAGAGTCTTTCGACGAGTTAAATGATAACGTGCTTGAGCTTAAGAAATCTAAGGAACGCATTTCATCCAATATAACATCCGTGAAAAATGTAGTCCAGGAAGAAGTAGAGAAAGATCGCACAAATAAACTACGGCAGTGTGATGGAGATATCGAGCAATTGTCTGCGCGGATGGCAGAAAATCGGAGACGTATGGAAAAGAGTAAAGCAAAAGGTTTAGAATTACTGGAAAATTTTTACGGTGATTCTGATACTTTGAAAATGCCTGAAAAATTTGAGATTGTGCAAAGTATCAACGAGTTGCTACGGTTTCCGAGCACTTTGGTATACAAATTTATTAAGCGCTATAAAACCTTTAAAGCGAACTTTGATGCAACTAGAAGATATTTTCAGTTAGACTTAAATGAAACGGATTTGAGTCAACTTTCTCAGGATAATACAGCAGATGAGTTAGACGATGGTGCTATTAACAAAAAAGATCCCATAACTGGTAAATGGATTAGGACACTGGTGGTAACGAAGGCAGGAACAGGATTTGAATTATCTTCATTAATGGAGCAATTTCCTATGAATAGCGTAGGCAGTGTGTTTGAGTTTACTCATCCAACGACTGGTAAAAAAGAGCGTATTCTTTACGGTGATTGGGCCCAACTGAATGAATCAGCTTCGCCTACATCCACTGAGGAAGAACAGATTTCTCAAGTGGATCAAGTGCTTAGTATGTCATCGAATGATCCACAAGAACTCAACAGATTAAAACAAAGCGTAGAGGAAGAGATAGAAATGTTAACGAAAATTATTCAAGAGCGAGAAGAAGAACTTTTTACGAAGCAACGTCAGCTAGATAAAATCATTGAGCGCCTTAAAAGGTTTACAACAGATGAAACAACAGAAGATATTAGTTCTATGGAGGATAGTTTTGTCCAACTTGATATTACAGAGGTTTCTTCTGTTCCTACTGGTGTCTAAACTCTCTGAATAGTAAATAATCTTAAGGATGAGAGTAAGTGCCGAACTTGTGTATTTCTAGATAAATTGGGAGTGAGTATCCCTAAATCATTGCTCTTGTTCAGAAAAGCTACACGTTGCAGTGGTCTATTATGTACTGTAAGTAAGAATACAGTAACCTGTTGTACTGCACCTAATGTGTCGTGATAAGATAAGGTAATGAATTACTAAGATAAAGGCATAAGACGGTATTATAGCTATGCCATTTAAACGCAGTAAATCCTAAATAAAAAGTGATTTCTAGTAAGCCTACTAGGTGAAGTGTGTCAAAGTCCCTCGTGCAAACGTTAACAGCTAAACGTGGAAACATAACGTGGTCTACAGGTTACGTATTTTTAGTAAGTCTATACTAATAGTATTGTATAATACAGTTTTATATGTAGCATATTATCTTATGGTGCATTATGAATAGACTGCAAAAGAAATTGTTGGCGAATGCTACGAAGAATAGTGACTATACAGACAGCAGGAGCTATTAGTGCTTTGGAGTAATAAAGTTCCCTATTTCTATAATAAAAAGGGTGTTTGTATTTCCTGTGAGAACTCTTTTAGAGATCCTAGTATTATCATATGAAATAGTGAGCTATGTTACGTCATGATACAGTATTAGATTAAAATTGTAATTCGAAATAGCGATAGAAAGTAAATTTCTGAAACTTAAGTGCGGCTCAGCAAACTTCCGTGTTTGTCATATCGAATAACAAGATAGAATGTAAATATACAATTAACAACAGCAGGAAACTAATGTATACTCGTACTGTACTGTATATACAACCTCACAAGATCTACTCATTTTAACTAGTTTACGGCAACAATTGTAAACAGATTAACTTCGCTAATTAAGTGACCTAAACGGGGGAAAAAAACGGTTTTCCCTTGCATCTATTGGGTGATCTATGGAACTATATGTAATTCGTATAGTTTCCCACTGCATAAACTAGTGATTTCCATTAAAATTACAATACCCTTAACCTGACGGGTATTTCGAACCGCCAATTTAGTGCTAATAGCAGCCACAACAGAATTCTCATATGATGTGTATACTGGAAAACTTGATAAATCTGCAAAAACCCAAGGATAGTACTTACTTACAATCGGTTTAGCAAATAAAGTTTCTATTCCATGACCGATCTGAATAGTAGCAGGGCCCATAATATCTATAATCCCGAAATCGCTCTTTAGCATTTCATGGCCTAACATGTAATTGAGAAAAGGATTTTTACCCATGTCGGCATGACCAATTGTCAACACCAAATCTTAATCTTTTGCCTGTCGTATATACTCTCAAAACCATCTTGTAACTTCTTTTGAATATTACTGATAATCGTCATTACTATTTCTTGATACGCGTACACAGTTCTACTTAAGAAGGTCCGAAAAGTAAAATACTTACAGTACTTTCAAAGAGAAAAGTGAAGGGGCACTTGGCCAAACATGTAAATAATATCGTAATTACCTATAAGAGAGTCAAGAAAACTTTCCGTATGGCGACTTAAGCTGTAAATTATTGCAATGACTTGGTTATGTATTTACAATTTAATATACCGTTAATTGTTATGAGCCACAACCGTGAATACAGCAACCGTTTAAGAATAGAAATCTAGAGCACTCATTCACGATAAATTTGTGAAAGTTGGTATGGTACGACTGTCACGTTCTGTAATAGTTACATAATTAGTATGTTACCTTCTTTCTATATATGGTTAAATATCACGATGTTATCACGTCAGGCGTATATAGATGTAGTTATGGTACTATATTAAGGTTATCTATATATGTATTCTCATGTTGCCATACTTGGCATGATAGTCTATTTGTAATGACTAAACTAGGGAAACCTTTCTGTTAGTGATGATCTTGTGATCTACGTCAGTAGACCAAAGGTCACAATAAAGAAAGTATATAAACTCTTCATTTTAACAATAAAGTTAGTTCTTCAACTTAATTACTGGGTCTCCTTGCTGAGTGCAGATCTAGTACTTGTTACAAAATTTGGAAGTTGTAACAACGACAAAGCTGACGTTTCTAACGCCCTTTATTATCCTTTATTATACTATAAAAGAGAAGAAGATTTATTCATATGGCAGCTATACTGTAGAATCAGGGCTGAAGAGAATTAGCAATAAAAAAATTCGCTGTAATATATTATATCAGGGCTCTTGTTCTCACAGCATTGTGTGTGGGTTTACCTAATTCGAATTAATTAAATAAATTTGTTGCTGTCGTTGAACAGGTACATACGAGCATGACAGTTACAGACTTTCAGGGTAGTTTAGGCATATAAGGCACAGAGTATTATTATGAATAGTTGAAAATAGGAAATTAGCCAAATCAGGTGAAAGTACGTAAAAATTGGAAAGATTTTACACTATGTTAAGCTTAAGTCAAGTCAATGTTGACTTAAAGAGGTAAATAACATATTTAAAAGTTTACAAATGAAATTATACCATCAAATTTTTTCTCACAAGATTTTTATTAGAAATTCAACTGTGAACAACTACGATAATTTAACAATAATCAAATAATGCTGTAGTCGCACATAGATTAATATTATAAGGCTGATAAATGATACCAATTATAAATAGGAAATAATGCGAGAATAACTACTACGTTAAATAAGTAATACACTGGTAGAATATCTTCCAGAAATTGATAAGGTTAATAAATAGGTTGCTTACCGAAAATACGCGTATCTAATAAGCATCTCCTTTTTATACGCACAATACTAGATCAATAATGATACCGACCGCCTAATGCTATCAGAGCTGATATCGAATTCATTGTAGCGGTATAACTATGATATGATATGGTTTACAGTAGCCATTGTGGGTTAATTGTTAGAGGTGCAGTAACTCCTTTTAGAAAGTAAAAGTGAAGTCGATGTTGTAGCTTATTTTGTAGTAATCACTTACCTTTTAGTTAAAATTATGTACTTATCATTTAATAGGATTCTAGCATTATTTGCCATTAAAACCTTATAATGAGTTCGACTGAAATTTACTCTATTGTGGACCAGTGGGGGCTAATATACCTATCTATTCGTATAAATTACTTGCACTAAGGAAAAGAATATGAATAGTGGGTACTTATATAAAAAATTCTACTATCCCTATTATAACCTCTTTTTTCAGATATCATTAGTAATAAAAATCGACTAAATTTTAACAGAATTTGAGTACCGTAATGAACTAGTGTTATTATGACAATAATTGTTCATTATAATTGGGAACCAACGGCAACAAAGTTTTGTATCGATATGTTATAGTACTGGCAGCCAAATTGACAATATTTAAATGTTAACATCAATGACCCGTATCTTAAGAATTTATTACCATCGTTATTATCTTTGCCCTAATCTTCATCTTTACATCAAATATCCGTAACAATTTACTAATTTAAGAACCGTAATGAATTACTAAAATTATTAATATCTACTAGTAAACCTGCCGTTTAAATGTAGTATACAGTACTATTGCAAATTACCCTGCGAATGATATGCTGTATATGGCTATTATCATATGGATTACTAGATGTTAATTGAGTCATTTTTTACTTATTTCTCGAAAAATTAAACAACAAATTCGACATTTCCTGAATGCCAAGCAAGTCTATCAAATAGTAGAAAAATACCTCTAAGAATTAATATATGCTTATT